AATCATGTAATGAAAGGTGTTGGGGATTATTCTGGTGTTTCTTAAGAGTCATGATTGTTGTTATAATCCTTGTATATTTTTTTTTGGGGCGTTATAGTACACTAATATGTACACTAATTGGTGCATATAGCACCACCGTATAGATATATATATATATATATATTTAATACACACTTTAATACATCCTTTAACACATCCATTATATCACTATTCATTCACTAAATTAACAAACTCTTAACACATATTTTTTGGTCCCTCTTTTAACACTTTTTTTCATTTAACACACAACTTTAACACATGCATTGTGGATGTTCTTAGTTAATAAAATTTTTCTTAGTTGTTTGAATTGAAAAAAAAAATAAATAAGAAATTGAAGTTGAGTGGAACTCTCACATCCATTCTCATTACAAAACCCATTTTACAGTATAAATATATATAGATATAGATTCTCTATCTAGCAAAAAAACAAAAAAAAAAGCTCTCTCTGTGCACTATTCTACGAGCTTTGTTTACTTATTCTTTTACAATTCTCTCAATGATATTAATTCATCAACAACTTCACAAACTGATATATTATTAAGGTAAATTATTTAAATTTTTTTTTATATTTTCTTTTTATTATATTTCTAATTTAAATAAAATTTTCTCATGTCAAAAAAATTGTAGGAAATTTAATTACACATCTGATTAATGCCTACTATTTATCACTGAAGGTGAAAAATCAAGTTCTATTTTTCTGTACTTTTATTATTTCTAGTGTTTTGCTCATTTTTTATTTTTATTTATTTTTGATTATTTTTAGAGAAGACAAATGTGTCTAATAGAAAATACGAATCTAGATATGAAAAACTTTAGGGAAAAAAAAGAGAGAAGAAAATCTTATTCAATCTAAAAAAGGAACTCTTGACAAATTCATTACAATTAATAAAAATATAACAAAAAATTTAGACGAAAAATTTATAAATGAACAAGTAATTGATCAAAAAGAGTTGGGACATATTGAAACTATACAAATACAAAAAATTTAGGTGAAAGTTCCATAAATGAATGAGTGATTGATCTAAAGGAGTTTGAACATAATGAAACTCCGCAACCAAAAAATGACACTACAAATAATTTAGGCGAAAATTCTATAAAGGAACAAGCAATTGATCCAAAAGAGTTGGAACATAACGAAACCATATAACAAAATATTAATGAAACAAATGATCATGTTCCTCCAAACATTTACCTTAGATCAACTATGTTATAAGAAAGATTAAGTGGATTAGTTATATTATCAATTGAAAAAGATTTGTTAGACACAAATTATCTAGAGTGGCCCTGAATAACTTGGATTGCTTCCATAGAATCTGTTTTGATGATAACATGATGATACTCTTCGGCCCATCTCAATTGTTATTAAAAAACTTTATAAGCCGGCAAATTTAGGCAGCATGTCTATGGTTTTGATTAGGTTATTCAGTATGAAACTTTTCATATTTAAAAAAAAAAAAATCTATATATATATACATAGGGTCGATTGAGTGACCCATTCTTTCACTTTACTGGTGCAACAAGGACTTATTAACTAATTGAGAAACTATTGAGCCAATTATGATTCCCTCACCTTCAGCAAACGTTGATAATGGCCCAAAAAAAGAAAAAAAAAATTCAACTTTAAAAATAAAATTGTCAATTTGATGAATGGACGAATTAAATGTCAAAACCAAGCCAGCGATTTCTTGTGTATATCTTTATTCAGGGTGAACATGTTTATATCCACCATGCTATTGTTATACTCATTATTCTTATTTGGAATTTAAATCAAGATTTAGTCCATTCCCAACTCACCATTTGTTAGAATTTATAATTTATTACGAATTTTTATTTAAAATTTTATGACATCATTATTTTCATAAATTTTAAACAACTCATATATGTACATTGTTTGTACAAATTTTTTACATCAATGCCGAATTTTGTTGTTTTAGCTGGTATCTGTCTCACGGGCCATGCAGCAACTAATAAGGTTGTAGGTTTTTTTTTTTTTAAGAAGACAAAAGAAGAAGAAAGATTAAAAATGTCAATCCGGTGTATGATTTTTATTTCTTAATAAATTTTACTATCTTGGAAAAATGGAAGAGCCGATAAACGTTTTGGAGAGCATCGCTTTACGCAAGTGGAAGAAGGGATTACTGTGCTCCTCGTCTTTACATTTTGTTGAATCACATTTATTTTTAAAAAATAAATAATTATATAAAATAATATTAATTGTTAATATTTTTGAAAATAAATATTTGATTAATCTGATCACGTAATTTTATATTAGCGGTTGGTACACATGATAAATGTGCGATTTGAAAAAATACAATTAAAAAAAAAAAAATATCTAGATTTTATACTACACAAGTAGTAAGAAATGAAGCGGGGAGGGATTTTACTTCTCTCACCCCGTTTTATCCAAAATTCATCCTAATTATATTTATTAAATATATTTATATATAAACATCCGTCGATTGAGGGGCTCATTCTTTCACTTTACTGGTGCAACAAGGACTTATTAACGAATTGCGAAACTAATCAAGCCAATTATGATTCCCCTACCTTCAGCAAACGTTGATAATGCCCAAAAAGAGAGAAAAAAAAAATGTCAGTTTGGTGAGTGGACGAATTAAATGTCATAACCTGACAATTGAAAATTAAAATTTAAATATTAAAGACGAATCTCAAGCAGTTAAGCAGTTCTTATATATATATATATATGTCAATTTATTTGATATTTAAAAAATAAGCACTACTTTTTAACCATGTGTATATATAGCTTACAATAATGAAGGTGGAGATGGAGGTGGTGGCATGGTGGTCGGGTGGCGGTAACGGTAACGATAGCGGTAACTGTGGTAATGGTGGTGATGGCAGCAGTAGTGTGGTGACATTAGCAAGATTTTGGTCTAGAAAATATTTTTTGCCTTTCAAAAATGAAAAATATTTTCTACCTAAATAAACTTGTTTTTTATTAACTATAAAAAATATTTTTTGTTGTAGTAGAAAACAATGTTATTAAAGGTGCGCCTAGGCGTACGCCTATGCACAAATCCCATCTAGACCCAAGATTTGCACCTTGTAGTGTTCCAAGCTAGGCAAGTTCGATAAGGTGTGCCTAAGTGTGCGCCTAGGCCTAAGTCCTATCCAAGCCCAAGATTTGCACATTGTAGTGTTCTATGCCAGGCGCCTTCGATAAGGCGTGCAATTGGTCCAAGGCATAGTAAGGCCCAATGCTTGTGTCGTGAGGGTTTTTTTATTGTTGCTTTAGTTGATTTTGTTTAAAATCTGACCATTGATTTAATATGGTGTAGTTACAGAAGATAACTCTAATCACACATGCCAATACATTGGACATTCAACCCCAAATCAATGGTAGAAGAAAAATTAATCATAATTTGTAATCTCCAAAGAATACTTTACTGCTACATGCTTTCATTATCTAGTCCAGCAGCTCCAAAAATTCTTCTTCATGTTGTCTTCTTCTTCTTCTCTTCTACGTTTTTGTCTCATTCTCTTCTCTTCTTGTCTAAGTTATTGTCTTCACTACATCTCTTCTTTACGTTGTTATTTTTTCTTCACATGGCTATGATGTTGCCTTCTTCTTCTTCCATCTTCTTATGCCTATTCTTTTTTTTTTTTTTCATCATTCTTTAGACTGATCTATTTTCCCCCCCTCTTCTTATTCTTCTTCTCTCCTCTCTTTTTATTCATGTTTCACGTTAAATTTATTGTTCATTTGTTTATGTTAAAATAGTAGTATTTGTTGGTATTTATATTTTTAAATGCTTAACATTTCTTTTTACTTATGTTGAATTCTAAATTATTTGCTTATATTAAATTATATATATATTTTTTATGCACAAGGTGCACCTCATTTTAGTGAAGTGCCTCGCGCCTTGCCTTGCGCCTTGAGCCTTGGCCTTAGGAGACCTTGGTGCCATAGTGTACCTATCACCTTTAATAACACTAACAGAAAATATTTACATCCAAACAAATGAAGTATTTATTGAAATTCTGTGATTTCACCTTTGGTTGAGTTTTCAAATTTATTTTTTATTTAAAAACGAAAAATATTTTGAATAAAAATAAACACGAAAAGAAATATTAAAATTTTGTTAATTTATTTTTGCTTCCAAAGCAGAGAACTATTTTAAAATATGTTTCTTTGTTCACATCCAAATAATATTGCTGAGTTTATCTTCAAGTCTTCGTTAATTCCATACAACTGTTTATTCAATTCGTTCACAAACTAGGAGATAAAAACAAAAAAGACTTTTCACAAATTAAAGAGAAATGTTGATAGACCAGAATTTTTATACAATTTCCCCCCTACAATTATGTGACAGTTACATATTTATAAACTATGATCAAAACATTAGCTTTGTGTCTTTAATTAATCACACTAGTCATTTTGTATAAAGTCTCTATCATTTTTCTATTTTTATAACAACGACTTGTCTAAATTGATACTCTAAACACTTTTGTGCTTTTAAATAATTACACTAGTCATTTTGTATAATAATTCTCTACCATTTTTGTCTATTTTTATAACAACTTGTCTCAATTGATACTCTAAACATGTTTTTAAATAATTACACTAGTCATTTGTATAATAATTCTCTACCATTTTTCTATTTTTATAACAACGACTTGTCTAAATTGACTCTAAACAGCTTTGTGTTTTTAAATAATTACACTAGTCATTTTGTATACTAATTATCTACCATTTTTCTATTTTTTTATAGCGACTTGTCTAAATTGATACGCTGAACAACAAGGCACTTCAACAATTCAGTGTTTGGACTTGGGCAACGCTCCATATGGAAAATGTGTGTTTTATTTCATCAATTATATTTCATTAATTCTGTTTGAAATAAAGAATTTATTTATATATTTATTTTTCTTATAAATAAGGAGCTTAAAATGAAGTACAACCACAAAGCTATCTGATTCCTAAAAAACTTGCTCTAACCATGTATAATTTACCTTCGATTTTTCTGCAACTTAACTTGGCATGGGTTCTTCTAGTAGCATCTTTCACTGCTGCTCAATTCGTGACTGGTTGCCAAGATTACTGTGGTAACATCAGTATCCCATACCCATTTGGCACTAGTAAAGAATGCTACGTAGAAGAACATTTTCTGGTTACTTGGAACGACACCCACTACGACCCTTCCCAAGTTGTTTCTAACAACGAGTCACATAGAGATCATAGACATATATCTTTCTGGTCAGTTGCGTATATCACCGCAGTAGCGTATGATTGCTTCAGTGAAGGGGGTGTTTCAGAAAACTATTATGACCCCTAGCTCAGATTGGCCAAATTCCCCATCTCGTATACCCGAAACAAGTTCACGGCTGTTGGGTGCGACTCCTATGCAGTTATCTCAGGCTCCCAGGGACAAAAGTATGACACGGGGTGCTTGTCACTGTGCGACAACATCAACAATGTGATCAACGGCTCTTGCTCTGGCATTGGCTGCTGTCAGACGAGTATCCCCAAAAGAGTGAGGAGTTTCTACATCAGTGTCAGAAGCTATGACAACCATACCCTTTTATGGAACTTTAATCCGTGCACCTACGCTTTTGTAGCTGAGGAAGCTGCTTACAACTTCTCTTCTTTAGATCTTGCAAACTTACAGAACAGAACAATGTTTCCTGTGGTGCTTGATTGGTCTGTAGGGAACCAAACATGTGCTGAAGCCAAAAACAATCTAACAAGTTTTGCTTGCAAGGCTAATGGCGACTATTATGACTTTCACAATGGTCCTGGGTATCGCTGCAATTGCTCCCAGGGATATGAAGAGAACCCTTATCTTCCTAATGGTTGTATAGGTAACCACAACTGTGTTGAAAGCTTTCAGTTTCTTCCTAACGTTGATGCCATGATTTATATGTTGTAGCTACTGAATATGACATCAAAAATCAAACTTGCTTGTTCTCAGATATTAATGAGTGCATTATTTCAAGCCCCTGCAACATGACATGCCAGAATTTACTAGGCACATACAAATGTTCTTGTCCAGACGGCTATGAAGGTGATGGCAGAAAAAATGGATCAGGTTGCAGTCTGATTCCTGTTCCGACCCATAGGCTTCCCGTGATTAACATCGCATTAGGTAGGTACATATACACCCCACACATGCTTACTAATCATAAATTTGTCTATAGATTAAATTTTCATCAATAGTCAAGCAGATCATTGCTTGTGATTTTGATTCTATCTCCAGTTAAAGAGTTTACAATCCTCAATTATTGATGCACAATCTGAAACAATTTGAAGATGCCATATCTCCAATTACCTTATATTGTTCTTTCAGCAACGTAACATTTATATAGACATCTAAGTTTTTATAAACAACCAATTCTCTCATCTTATTTTTCATTTTCATGTATAGGTTGTGTTTGGTAATTCAAAGAAGAAAGGAATAACCGGAAAAAAACAAAAAACAAAAAATGTAGTCATCAAAATGTGACCAAAGTTTAGATCAACACTAATGCCTGCACCAACCCAAAAAAAAAAAAAAAAAAAAAAAAAAAAAAAAAGAAAAAAAAGAAAGAAAAAAAAGCTAAACTAAAACTAATGCACAAAAAATACCAAGAAAATGAAATATATTAGTCTTGAATGCATCCTGTAAGACTCTAAATTTGAATCTATGCCATACATTTCATTTTTTGGGTTTATAGCTTTTCCGTTTCATTATAATGAAGTTGAAACTATGGATATTGATGTTTTCCATTTGAATCTTTTTAGGCATCAGTGTTAGATTTTATTCTTGGCAATCCCGTTTGACAAAACTCCTTTCAGTTGTATTTATTTTCGCACTTTTTATTTCAGTGAGGCTATGAGTGTTTAGAATACTCTAAACACTTTTGTGCTTTTAAATAATTACACTAGTCATTTTGTATAATAATTCTCTACCATTTTTGTCTATTTTTATAACAACTTGTCTCAATTGATACTCTAAACATGTTTTTAAATAATTACACTAGTCATTTGTATAATAATTCTCTACCATTTTTCTATTTTTATAACAACGACTTGTCTAAATTGATACTCTAAACACTTTTGTGCTTTTAAATAATTACACTAGTCATTTTGTATAATAATTCTCTACCATTTTTGTCTATTTTTATAACAACTTGTCTCAATTGATACTCTAAACATGTTTTTAAATAATTACACTAGTCATTTGTATAATAATTCTCTACCATTTTTCTATTTTTATAACAACGACTTGTCTAAATTGATACTCTAAACACTTTTGTGCTTTTAAATAATTACACTAGTCATTTTGTATAATAATTCTCTACCATTTTTGTCTATTTTTATAACAACTTGTCTCAATTGATACTCTAAACATGTTTTTAAATAATTACACTAGTCATTTGTATAATAATTCTCTACCATTTTTCTATTTTTATAACAACGACTTGTCTAAATTGATACTCTAAACACTTTTGTGCTTTTAAATAATTACACTAGTCATTTTGTATAATAATTCTCTACCATTTTTGTCTATTTTTATAACAACTTGTCTCAATTGATACTCTAAACATGTTTTTAAATAATTACACTAGTCATTTGTATAATAATTCTCTACCATTTTTCTATTTTTATAACAACGACTTGTCTAAATTGATACTCTAAACACTTTTGTGCTTTTAAATAATTACACTAGTCATTTTGTATAATAATTCTCTACCATTTTTGTCTATTTTTATAACAACTTGTCTCAATTGATACTCTAAACATGTTTTTAAATAATTACACTAGTCATTTGTATAATAATTCTCTACCATTTTTCTATTTTTATAACAACGACTTGTCTAAATTGATACTCTAAACACTTTTGTGCTTTTAAATAATTACACTAGTCATTTTGTATAATAATTCTCTACCATTTTTGTCTATTTTTATAACAACTTGTCTCAATTGATACTCTAAACATGTTTTTAAATAATTACACTAGTCATTTGTATAATAATTCTCTACCATTTTTCTATTTTTATAACAACGACTAGTCTAAATTGATACTCTAAACTGCGCTTCAGCAATTGATGTGTTTGGGCTTCGACAACAAATTATACGCGTTTCATTTCATCATCTATATTTCATTAATTGTGATTTATTTATTTATTTATTTTTGCCTTACAAATAAGGAACTTAAAATGAAGTACAACCACAAAGCTATCTGATGCCTGAAAACCTGGCTCTAACCATGTATAATTCACCTTTGATTTTTCTGCAACTTAACTTGGCATGGGTTCTTCTAGTAGCATCTTTCACTGCTGCTCAATTCGTGACTGGTTGCCAAGATTACTGTGGTAACATCAGTATCCCATACCCATTTGGCACTAGTAAAGAATGCTACGTAGAAGAACATTTTCTGGTTACTTGTAACGACACCCACTACGACCCTTCCCAAGTTGTTTCTAACAACGAGTCACATAGAGATCACAGACATATATCTTTCTGGTCAGTTGCGTATATCACCGCAGTAGCGTATGATTGCTTCAGTGAAGCGGGTGTTTCAGAAAACTATTATGACCCCTGGCTCAGATTGGCCAAATTCCCCATCTCGTATGCCTGAAACAAGTTCACGGCTGTTGGGTGCGACTCCTATGCAGTTATCTCAGGCTCCCAGGGACAAAAGTATGACACGGGGTGCTTGTCACTATCCGACAACATCAACAATGTGATCAACGGCTCTTGCTCTGGCATCGGCTGCTGTCAGACGAGTATCCCCAAGGGAGTGAGGAGTTTCTACATCAGTGTCAGAAGCTATGACAACCATACCCTTGTATGGAACTTTAATCCGTGCAGCTACGCTTTTGTAGCTGAGGAAGCTGCTTACAACTTCTCTTCTTTAGATCTTGCAAACTTACAGAACAGAACAATGTTTCCTGTGGTGCTTGATTGGTCTGTAGGGAACCAAACATGTGCTGAAGCCAAAAACAATCTAACAAGTTTTGCTTGCAAGGCTAATAGCGACTGTTATGACTTTGACAATGGTCCTGGGTATCGCTGCAATTGCTTCCAGGGATATGAAGGGAACCCTTATCTTCCTAATGGTTGTATAGGTAACCGCAACTGTGTTGAAAGCTTTCAGTTTCTTCCTAACATTGATGCCATGATTTATATGTTGTAGCTACTGAATATGACATCAAAAATCAAACTTGCTTGTTCTCAGATATTAATGAGTGCATTATTTCCAGCCCCTGCAACATGACATGCCAGAATTTACTAGGCACATACAAATGTTCTTGTCCAGAGGGCTATGAAGGTGATGGCAGAAAAAATGGATCAGGTTGCAGCCTGATTCCTGTTCCGACCCATAGGCTTCCTGTGATTAACATTGCATTAGGTAGGTACATATACACCCCACACATGCTTACTAATCATATATTTGTCTATAGATTAAATTTTCATCAATATTCAAGCAGATCATTGCTTGTGATTTTGATTCTATCTCCAGTTAAAGAGTTTACAATCCTCAATTATTGATGCACAATCTGAAACAATTTGAAGATGCCATATCTCCAATTACCTTATATTGTTCTTTCAGCAACGTAACATTTATATAGACATCTAAGTTTTTATAAACAACCAATTCTCTCATCTTATTTTTCATTTTCATGTATAGGTTGTGTTTGGTAATTCAAAGAAGAAAGGAATAACCGGAAAAAAACAAAAAACAAAAAATGTAGTCATCAAAATGTGACCAAAGTTTAGATCAACACTAATGCCTGCACCAACCCAAAAAAAAAAAAACAAAAAAACAAAAAAAAAAAAAAAAAAGCTAAACTAAAACTAATGCATAGAAAATACCAAGAAAATGAAATATATTAGTCTTGAATGCATCCCACAACACTCTAAATTTGAATCTATGCCATACATTTCATTTTTTGGGTTTATAGCTTTTCCGTTTCATTATAATGAAGTTGAAACTATGGATATTGATATTTTCCATTTGAATCTTTGTAGGCATCAGCATAAGCATCTCAGGGCTACTTCTTGGTGGCTCCTGGCTATATTGGGTATTTAGGCAGAGGAAGATCTTCAATCTTAGAGAGAAGTTCTTTCAACAAAATGGTGGCTTCATGTTAAAACAACAACTTTCCAAATGTGAAGGATCGGTTCAATCAGCTAAAATCTTTACCTCAGATGACCTCAAGAAGGCAACAAACAACTACGATGAAAGTAGAGTCTTGGGCCAAGGAGGCCAAGGAACAGTCTACAAAGGAATATTACTAGATAACACCATAGTTGCCATTAAGAAGTCCAATGTAATTGATCAGAGCCAGTCCCAGATAGAGCAATTCATTAATGAGGTCATAATTCTCTCCCAAGTCAACCACAGGAATGTTGTGAAGCTCCTAGGGTGTTGCTTGGAGACACAAACTCCCTTACTTGTCTATGAATTTGTTACCAATGGCACTCTCTATGAGCACATACACAATATCGACCACAACAGGTCCTCAATAACTTGGGAGAATCGTTTAAGGATAGCAACCGAAATTGTTGCAGCCCTTTCATAGTTGTACTCTGTCGCTAGTACTCCTATCATTCATAGAGATGTTAAGTCCACTAACATACTTTTAGACGACAATTACGTTGCTAAAGTGTCTGATTTTGGAGCTTCAAGGTTGATCCCCATAGACCAAACTCAATTAACCACATTGGTTCAAGGGACACTCGGTTACTTGGACCCAGAGTACTTCCACACAAGCCAATTGACTGAAAAGAGTGATGTTTACAGCTTTGGGGTTGTCCTTGTGGAGTTGCTAACCGGCAAGAAGGCACTTTCTTTCAACAGGCCTGAATTAGAGAGAAATTTAGCAATGTATTTTGTCTGCTGTCAGACGAGTATCCCCAAGGGAGTGAGGAGTTTCAACATCAGTGTCAGAAGCTATGACAACCATACCCTTGTATGGAACTTTAATCCGTGCAGCTACGCTTTCGTAGCTGAGGAAGCTGCTTACAACTTCTCTTCTTTAGATCTTGCAAACTTACAGAACAGAACAAAGTTTCCCGTGGTGCTTGATTGGTCTGTAGGGGACCAAACATGTGCTGAAGCCAAAAACAATCTAACAAGTTTTGCTTGCAAGGCCAATAGCGACTGTCATGACTTTGACAATGGTCCTGGGTATCGCTGCAATTGCTCCCAGGGATATGAAGGGAAGCAAAACTATGTGAATTTGTTGCTTTATGTTGTTTTTGTAGAATGATTGTAATATATTCTCTTGTAACTTGCTATTATTTATATGTGTTTTCCAAATTTATTTATTTTTATTTTGCATGGATACATGTGCATTTATAATGTACCATATGAAGCGAATAGAGGGGAAAAAATGAAGGAATAAAGACAAACTATCTAATGAAAGGATAAACTAAATAAGATATATTTTTATTTCTTCTTTATTTTTTTTAGTAAAAACCAAAATGCATGAAGAAAGAAAGAAATACATACCTGTTTCTTGCGCAATTCTTGGTTTTCCTCTTTCAGTTTTACAACTTCTGCTTTCAACTCCATCGTATAGGCCTGGCAAAAATCCAAAAGGGAA